TCCGGATCCAGTTGGAGGACTGATCCGGTCCGGGTTTTACTTTTAGCAGTCCGGATCCAGTTGGAGGTCTGATCCAGTCCCATTTTACTGTAACAGTCCAGATCCCATGGAAATCTGATCCAGAAAAAAGACTTTATTAGCCCATAATTACATTAATGATAGGAACAGAAAACATATGACACTGTATGTACATATAAAAACTAAAATAATGATTTAGTTTAGATAATTACTGACTCCCGCTTTAACTGTCTGTATCTTGGCTGTGGAATGTTCCAGAAATAAAATGTCCAAAACCAAAAAAGTATTCTGATGCCAGGGGAGCGTATGGGATATCATAAAACACAGTGCTGCACTACTACCTGTTAACCATATCCTTACTTTTGCCAAATAGTTTCAAAGATGAATCATTGTTCCATGAATGGAACTAGAGTGAAGAGTTCTAGCTCTAGAATTTCAGAAAAAGAGGAACATACTTCCTACTAAAACAAGGAGGATGCAATAACATGATGTAAAATTTGGGACGTCAGATAGAAGGATTAGTTTTACTCTAACAGTCCGGATCCAATTGGAAGTCTGATCTAACAAAAAGACTTTATCAGGTATCCCATAATTACATTAAATAAAGATCTCCTCCCCTTAAGCAAGTTGGAGGTCTGCATATGTACTTATTTTTTATTTATTATTGCTTTCAGTAAGTGTAGATTTACAGCCTAGACAAGGAATTTTTTTACTCATAGAAAGTAGAGCTTCCGCTGATAATATCTCTGTGGTTTAGAGAATCCACTTAAGGGAAAATTAGGAGAAAATTAAAATTTATACTATATAACATTTACATACAAAAATATAATGGCAACCACATTAAACACACACCAGTAATATTGATGCTTTTTTTAAGTTAGTGTTCAAGCACTTAATCTGTGTGCCTCTTCCATAAGAGTACTTGCTAATACATTTAGAAACCTGTAAAGCTGAATCAAAACTGTTTGTACTACAGATATGAAGCATTTAACAATTTACTGCTATGACAAAGCCATCAGCTGGCCTATTCTGAGACATGATGAGGAAAAAAATAATGAGAAATGAATTCCTTTTCTCAAAGTCTCATCCTGCTAATTTGTATCAAGAGTCAGTGAGACTGAAGGAGATGAAAGTAACTCTGGTTTAGAGATCACAGCAGGGGTAACCATCACCTGTCACTGAAACATTAATGTGTTGGTCTCTGTGTTTGATTCAGTGACATCACTGCCTATGTCACTTTAGCTTTGATGCCCCAGAGCTGTGCTTTTTGTTCTCTCTTCTCTCCTCCATACACTTTAATTTCTTACAAGGTTCAAACAGCAGCATACCTTAAACAGCCTTGGAAATTCAATGTCAGCTGCTGGATTAGCAGGTGGATGTCTTAAAAAGAAATGTCGCATGTTTAAAAAGACCAGTTACAGGGCTATAGGTTCTGGCTCTGAAATAGTTTTTTTTTTTCAGAACATAGGTAAATGGTATTTTAAGCAGTTATTGCAGAATATTGATGAATCTATTGACTAATAAGATTCTATGAAACTTTTATTTTAAAAAATGTGTCATGTTAGACTGTCTTTTTAAGTAAAAATCCTCTTATTGAGGACAGTAGGGGGCACTCACTCTGCAGCCTGTGTGGGTCCTAATGACCCGGTATAGTGACAGGAACGCTATGCTGTAAAAAGGTGCCATCCTTCGGATGTGACGTAAAACAGAGGTCCCAACTCTCTGTGGTCATTACAAATCCCAGAGCATTTCTCAAAAAGAGTAGGGGTGTTAACACTGACACAGGGGTGATGACTCTTAATCATTTTCATTTCAATTCAAGAAGCTTTATTGGCATGACCAATAGATTTGTGTTGCCAAAGCATATGCAATCAATACAACATCTAAAGACATTTAAAATACAAACACAGTACAGTATATGAGGTTTACCTACAACATACATCATATAGACCATTATTGAGAGACAGGCTTACTGTTCCTCAGGCTGTGACAGGAGCTCCTACACTGGACTGCCAGTTCAACTGAGTTCCCTCGCCGCTCTCCCAGTAGGATTGGAAGCTGTTGTGATTCTGGCAGGTATGGGAATTCTGTGATTAGATTTGTTAATCTGAGAAAGAATGCTTGTCTAACCTTAATCCTAACCCTCACCCCAGAATATTTGTCACATTGCAGTAGGAAGTGAATCTCTGTCTCTATGTCTCCTTACTGGCAGTGGGAACACAGCCTGTCCCTCTCTGGGCAGCCAGGTCTGCCTGTGTCGCCCAGTTTCTCTGGCCAGATTGTGGTCACTGAGCCTGTACTTCATCAGGGTCTTTCTGCTGGTTTCTTTTTGCTGTTTCCTTACCTTGGTCAAATAATCAACTATCATGTATTGTCTGTTTAGGATTCTGTAGCGGTCCAGTCATGTTGTGTTGGTGTGTGTATGTCCCAATGTGTGAGATGTTGTTTTTGATCTGTGCTGTGATGTGGTTGTTTCTGATTTTGAGTGTTCTAGCTGTGCTGTCCTGAGGCTAGCTGGTGTCACTGTGGCTCTGGTAAGTGAGTTTTAGGACCATCTGGCTCTTTGGCCCAGAATTCAATGAACCGACGTAAACCAGACAATTCCTTTGATCAGTGTGTCACAGACTCAAGTAAACACTTCAGTTTCTTGCTCTGGAGCTCCTGAGAACTACAAATCTTGATACTAGCTAGACGTTTGGCTATTGTCTGTAGATTCTTGGGATACCCGAGTAGCCACTTCCAAAAACTGTAACAATACACTATATTTCTTTCTCTGTCTGTACTGTATTATACCAATAAATGGATTCACCTTTCTCCCCTCACACTGAGCATTGTGCACGAAATTAAAAAAAAACGTAAGTACCACATTTAATTTAATCTTTAAGGAAACTTCTCAGCGGAGCAATAACATTAATCGAGTCAATGAATTCAATATATTGTTTTCTTGATTCTTTCCAGCATATTCTGAAGAAACCAGTGGGAAGCAATGGCATACTTGAAAATATGATTGCTTTTCTTTCTTTTCAAAATTGTATTCAGAGAGTTTGCAGATGATATAGTATATTTTTTCTTTACTTCTGTCCAGAAACCATTCTGGTGTTTTATTAGACATTTACTGTACCTATCCTGATTTCAAAGTGATTTTTGATAAGTATCGTATAAAGAACAACTATGAAAATGTTATTTTAAATTTTGTTATATAGGAACTTATAGTGATTTTCAATACAAATGAAACTATATTTTAACTTCAGCTTCATTTTATTGAACAAAGTATTTTTACCAGCTGTTAAACTGCACAATTTCCTTCATTTTAGAGACAGTACAATACAAGTGTGTTGCATTATTCAATAAATGACTTTGCCCCAAAATAAACCTTTTGCTTTATTTGGCCTGCAAAAGAAAAATGCCAAACCTAAATGATTTGAGATTAAAAGTACTGCATTAAAAGCAATTTCTGCCACTGAAGTGAAACTGCTTTATCCTTAGCTGTTAACTGTTATCTGTTAAGATGTCCACACAAAAAGTGGAAAACTCTGCCATTATATGTTTCATTCTAAACATTTATTTGTGAATATTAGTTTAAAGTGATGCTCCTAACGTTTCAAACTAACAAGTTAGCTCCATAAAAGTAAATCTATAGCATACAATCATGAAATATAAAGAAATGACTTTTTTAAAAAAGTGAGTGCATACTGTAGCATAATTTAGATTTTAGAATTTTAGACATACAGTCATATGAAGCATTTTTTACTACTTAAGTATTTTCTCCCTCCAATAATCCACTCTTTTACCTATTTTTCTACAAGAATACTTTATGTGAGTCAAGCAGGAATAATGATTTGTATTCAAAAAGTCTTTATTAAAAATAGGTGACTCACGTCATCACCTGCAGAGCTCCAATGAGCCTTTTTGACAGGATGTGACTTGATAAAGTGCAGAAATTGTTGTTTAGTTGTTCAGAAATTAATTTAACAGGTCACAGTGGAAAATCCTTCACAAGAATACAACACAAGCACTGGGGGTAATGTCCATTTCTTAAAAAGACTTAAGAAATGCTGGAAACCTAATCTGCACAGGTTGTAAGGACCTTGGCTAAATCAGTTATTACAATGATGATATCACTTCGAGATACTTCAAGATAAGTATCTCCTGTCACCATGCTGGGACACAGTTGTGGAATATCTAATCCAGAGGGAAGAGGTCCACCACTAATACATGACTTTATTACGTAGACACTGCTTTGTACAGTGTATTATACTGTATATTTATCTATCTCATTAATACTGAGAGGCAGAACAAGTAGTATAAAGCCTAGCAAATGCTGCAGATTATAGTTATTGCTTTTGAAATGGTGCTGACCTCTTAAAAATGTTCAGTGGCTCGAAATAATTGTGTACACCAGATGCAAAATTGTGCATCAGAGTCACTGTGTAGAAGTTCGAACAAGAATATTGAAACTCCTTTCCACGGGCAGACATAATGATGGGCTGGTTGGTTGATTGATTATTGTGGGATATCTAAACTGAATACAACGGTTAATACAGTACGTGGTCTTCTGTTGACAAACATCTGATGAAAATCTATCAGAAAACCACATGTATGCAATTATGGGTCTATTAATAAAACATATTGGCAAATATAAGATGTTTTTAGTCTTAGCTGATTTGTTTTTTTTTTGCAGGTCTTCATTTTTGAAAACAACATCTATTATCAGGCAACGATGGAGAGTCGTGCGATACGTCTGGTCTCTTCTGGAAAAGAAGGAGTTATTTTTAATGGCCTCAGTGACTGGCTGTATGAAGGTAAGACACATATATTTTTATGTTTTCTGGACAAATCTACAGAATAACAGTTTAAATACATTCAATTGCTGTGCAATTAAACACTGCTAGTAACATAAAGAGGAGCATTTGCTTTACATATGTTTTTACTTAATACGGTCATCGCAAAATGGTTTCTGCAATTAACAGGGATTTTTCAAAGTAATGAAGTTAAGTTTAAAGTGTCTTACCTTTCTTGTTGATCTTCAGTGTTGAACCTGTGGTTTTTAAATACTATTTAATTTTGGGTGTTCTTGGGCGTTTAATTGTATGTAGTCTATCCTATAACCTTTCTGCAAGGACCACAACTTTTCCCAATTTTATCAATAATTTACTGTACATTGAGGTGTAATTAGCAAACTAGATTTTCAGATCATTAAGGTAAACATTAAAAGTACAGTTCCGACACAAGTTTCCCTATTAAGCAGATTTATAAAGGTTATATACTGTAATAAAACAACTCACTGCTCAGGGAATATCGAGTGTGGTCACGTGATTTTATTTCTGGCACAGCACAATTTCAGAGTAAAAGAATGTGTAATAACTTAACAGACACAACATCCGTTTATTTATAGAACCAGAGGACACGAAGAATGGAAAACATTGAAAGTGTTTTGAAAAAGACACTTATAAAATAGATTTACCTGTAAGAAATATTGTACAATAATAGGATATGTAGTGTAGTTGAAAGTGTAAAATTTACATAGAGACCTTTTTAAAAATATATAATGAATGCTAATATGTCATTTAAAATGTTATGCATAATTTTGGTCACCACATTACAACAAATATACACCATAAACAAATAGTGTTTGGAAACCGTTTCAATAAAGAGTGCATCTAGTGCATAATTAAATATCTTTAGATACAATGAGCTTGAAACACTTTAGTCTTGAACAGAGAAGAACTTCGGACAGGAATCAAAACTCTCAAAACTGTTAATTATGAAGGATCAACAGTGAAATGCATACCAAACAGCAGACGTAAAAATGAAGGCAAGTGCATCTCACACAGCACAAGAGGTATCTCTTGATACAAAATGAAATGGAAGACTAGGAAAGGCTGATACCTTTCTGAAGCTACCCTGGATTCCTCCAAGAAGCACTAAATGGGCTACGTCCACAGATCACTTCCCTGTTAGCTACAAAATGAGCTAAATAAGCAAAATGGCCATCTTTCATTTGCAGCATTATATATGGTACAGTAGTCTGCTAATGGCTGAGTGAGCTGCATTCTTATTTGAAATCTGAGGGAAGATATAAAATGTCAACTGGGATTTCTTTTTTTTTTTTCTGAAGAGGTCAATGGTGTTTTTACCCCCCAAAAAAACAAAATAATTAAGAAGAACAACAGATACAGCAACAGCATGAATGTTTCTTTTCTCATGGTTCCTGTGGTTCTGTTTTCATTTGTAGATCTTAACATCCTAAGCAGCAAAGAGCATTTAACATCTGTTAAAGTTTTTTTTTTTTCCCTGTGCTTTTGCTTTTTGTTGGTCATGTCCTGGGTATTACTCACTTCTGTTGTTTAATTAATGAGCATTTCTTAATTACTGGCACTGGTTCTCAGAGGGGATTTAAAAGGAGGGACTTTTGCCAATGCTAATGTTTCTTTTTACCTTTAAATTTTAATCAGAAGATGCATCCTGTTGTCTGACCTTTGCAGAGCTCTTATAAGAGAGGGGACGTTTTGCCTTAATTTATTGGAACAGACAACTTTTTAAAAAAAACAGGGTCAATTTTACTGATTCTGTCACATCTAAATTGTGATGTCAGTGAGGAAGGATCTATTAATTTTTAACAAAGTACAGTATATATTGGCATTAGAATATAATATATATAATGTATAGATAGGCTGCTATTGGCAATTTGTTGCTATTGGATCCTGAAGATGTTTCAAGCCACAAACGTTTGAAACATTTCTCCCCAGTACAGAAAGATTTCCTATTTAAAAAAAAAAGTTTGTTTTGTTTGATGAAACCTCTGTTGAAATTGTTTGAGTGGAAGAATTAAAACAAGATGGGTCAAATGACTTACTGTAATGTTGAAGAATAGTGTACCTCTACTGAGCCTTGAGTAGGTTGTAACATATATGCCCTAAAATTACTTATATTTTAATTAATTGCCACAATACCTTTCATACTTTAAATGACAGTAAGAAACCCACAGACTTCCTCTAGTCCTCAACTATCACTCCCATCAAGAGAAAAGTACAGAACATTGTGGAGAGTAATGTCACACCTCTGCAGAGAGACCCAGCTGTAACATGTATTTTAATTAAAAACGCCACCTCTAATTTCACACAGAAGGGAAAAGAACATCTGGTCCACAGTGAGATCTGTTTTTCTGAGAAGAGTTTGGCAGGTATGTGTCCATGCAATAGGTCCAGATGTATCACCTACAGTACAAAATAACCAATCCCTGTTCTGAATCCCTAAATTATCAATCATTGCTCACCAAGCCTCTATGTGCACATGTAAAGGAGCTTACTGCTTTACATATAAATAATGCAACCAATCCAACTATACATAGGATAAACTAAAGGAGGTAATAGTAGTCTGAAATGCCTACTTATACATACTGTACAGTAAATGAAGCTTTCAAGTTAAGGCCCCAACATTTACAGGTTCTCGACACTTCAAAAGCGATTGAGCACACAGTCGATGAAATCGCCATTGGTAGACTCACAGAGTGAGTCAGGGCTATGGACCAAATGTTTCCCCCAGACAGAAGGAATGAGAAATGATCTTCAAGCTGGGGACTGGAACCTTCTGAAATGAAAATTCTACTCTGACATCATCCCAACATCAAGCACAGAAGATCTGCTAACAACATGTAACATGTTTACTGCACTGCAGTTCCATTTCCTTCTAATCAGCTGAATAAATATTTCTGTCCAGAACACTGAAACAAATGCTTGTTTGTTCATTGGAACCCTCTATAAAACACAAAAGCCTTCTCTTCCATAAGTAGACAAGCATATTGTTGATGTGTTGATTATTGGAGAATACCCCAGGTAATATTTAAGACGCAAATTCCCAGTCCAATCTGTTTAAAAATCTGAATTCATTTACGGAATGTCTGTAATTATGGAGGACATTTTCTGGCATAATTTATTAAGTTCTGAAAAAGAAATATCACTGGCAAAATATTTAACCCATTATCTTAACATACTGTAAAATGTGTTATGATGAATGTAAGGTAAAACAGGGCACACTAATAATACTGACAGCTGGTGGGGGAAATAATTCTAATGTTAAATTAAAGAAAATGCTATTGCTAGATTGGATTTTTGCTGTTTTTAATATTAATTTCACTAGAACAAGTTGTTAAACCTAATAAAACTGGATGAAGGAAACTATTTTACAGTGCATGTGTTTTAAGAACTTAACAGTACAAGTTTTTTAATTGTTTAAATTAACATTTCCTAAAGTCCAATGAAAATATATATATATATAATGTTTTACCTTCTCACCTCAATGCTCAGTGTTTCAGTATTCATGATCTTAGTTTGACATAAATATGTATTGTAAATGGCTGGAAAGAATGGCTGTAACTGTTTTGAGCGGTGTAACAGATCAGCTGGACTTTCTAGATTTTCAATTTAATTTTTAAACCCAAATCAACATATGGAAAAAACGGGTGAGCGCTACAGTAGAGTAGGTAATGTGGGATCCTTTTTAATGGAATCAAGTTGATGCTTTGCGCTTGCTGCCTCATTGCATTTTTGTTTGCCGAGATATCTATCATGTGATATGTGAACTGTTTATGATTTTCTATTTGTTTTTTATACTAGAGGAAAAATACAGTATCCTTAAAAAATGAGTATGTACTCCAAGCATATGAAGTTTTCTGTGCACAATGTCTAAGCCTCCTATAATCAAATTACCTGTAATTATGTTTTATGCAGATACTGATAACATCACAATATATTTAGATATTTCACTTATATTTTGCAGAGAAATTGAAATAACAGTTTGTGAATGTGGGGATGCGGGGTAACATTACATACTGCAATTTATTTTCTGGATTTGAAAACAGGAAAATACAAATACAGTAGAAGTTCCCAAGAGAGGTCATTACGCCCATTTTTTGATTATGTTAGATGTTGGTATGGTAATGTATTGTTTCTGCTTCAATATTTCCATGTGGTTGTGGTGGACAGTCCACATAATTACATCAGAGAGGTTCTGCCTTTGGTATAATCTTGTTTTTTTGGGGTCAGACACAAACTAATTAGAATTTATCCTTCATTTATACACACACTCTATAAGCCTTTGTGCTAGCAAGAATAAAGGTCAAATGAGAGTTATTGGTTTAGAAACAGACTGCCTAAAGAACAATAAAACTAAGGTGAAATATGACCTAAGGCCACTACTGGCTTGTTTCATTGATGCCGAGTGAACTGTTTAAAGGTGGCATTTTCCAGAAGACATGTAAAAAACAATATACTAAATTGGGGTTTTAAAGTGTATGATTTTCAAAATTTGTGGAGAAAAGTTTAGTTATTCTTTTAATTTTACATAACTAGATTCTAGATTACTCTAAATATTTTCAAATATTTAAAATAAAGTTGCATTTACTCAATAATTTTCCTGAAAATCTCCCCGAGAGAGAAATAATTTTCTATACCAAACACGGTCTTAAAACGATTCCTCTTATAAAAGTAAGCAACGGACCACATATTAACACGAATGTCTCATTTTGTTTGGCCAAGAGAAATTGATTTAAGAAATTTACTTTATCCGTAATTTAGTGCACTGTTTGAAACTGCAAATAATATGCATTTGAAAATATGTTACTTTACATAGATATCCAGCGCTGTACTGTATATTATAGCATATAATAGCATCCATTTTAATCCTGAATAGAATGTTCTTATGATGTATCATACTGGAAGCAAAATGTTTGCTTTTAAAGTGTAAATGTTTCTGGGAGGCAGAATGTTAAAAGACAAGAGCACCAGAGGATTAAGAGGATTGT